ATCACGTGGTGAACAGAAAATGTGCAACTATAGAAAATTATTTCAACATAATGCATGAAAATCTTTGTGAGATAGATCATTTCTTATACTTCTTATTCAAATTTCTTTAATAGAATCAACAGAAAGATACTTTTCGATTAAGACAAGATATTCGATAACGAAATACACGAACTAATGATGAAATATCTTAGGAATAGAAGATAGAAATAAGAAAACTTAGGATTGAAAACTAAGGGTATGAGTTATCCTCAATCTGTATTGGAATGAGACAGTCTTTAAACCTACAGCAAAATGGAAGACTTCTAAATAAAAAAAGGAGCAAGGTAAGGATGTGTACTTTTTCGAACTTTGTTTAACTTATACATAGAGAAAGTATTCATAGAATTAGTGAGCAGTATCCATCGAGAAGTTCGCCAGAATCTACAAAGCAGTTATGGTTACAGCCACAATTTGTTCTGTGGTCATCAAGCTTCCTTTACCTTGACTTTTCCTCCCTTTAGTTTATTTATGTTAACATTGGTGCGTTGGATAAGTTACGGCAGGTATTATCATTCATCTCATCTTATAGCGGCTTCCCACGGTCGGCGATATTACGGACGTAAGCGGACCAGCACGCTTACGTGCTAAATCGCTAATACGCTAAATCAAAGATAAGTAGGTACAACACGAACTTATTATGATTAATTACTATTGACTGTTCTGATACCAAATATGTTGCTTCTAGATGTTACCATTAATTGCTGCTAGTAGGGGTAGGAGTTTTGTAATTAATATTATTTCATATCCGTTAACTAAAGGCAAGTTACCAACTTATGTCTACTAGTCGATGTGTTGAAACCAAAATATATCTACATGTAGGCTATACAATTTTACTTTCGAAGTATATGGCACTTTCAATAAAGCAATAATATAATATCTTACAATATCTACATTTTATGGCAAATATTAAAAAAATAATATCTGAAATTTTCCAATCACAAACTTTTTCAATATTATACTCTACTAAATATGGTAACTCATATTCAATTGCACGTAATGACTAAATTTTTTCATATAACAATTGCCTTGGTGCCCCATTGCCTGCTACACCACTGACTATTTAAAGTGGTGGAAGACCTGGATTTTTACTGGCACTGTTCCACTGTATACTATGAGTATTGTTGTACAGGTACCAGACAAGTTATTTACAAGTCACAGAAAAAGTTAAAGATTACAGAAGAACCGATGGATAGAAATCAGTCATTTTGAGTTTCAAAACGTAAATTGATGGCACTTGTAGTTAAACCTTGAATAAAGTCATAAGGACATTCGGCACTCCTTGAATTGAAGGGCTTAATGTTAAACAATGACAAGCCACACATGAGTTCAAAAAGAGTTAATGCTATGTTCGGTTATAGTAATACTATAACAACCCACTGAAAATTTATTTCAGCCCTTCGATAATAGATGGCGCGATAAATCTATGGTAACATTACTGCATAGGTCTAATTTGTCTATATCTACTCGACATAATGACAAGCCACATCAAAATGACAAAGATGGGCGAAAGCGATTCAGATATTCAAACAAGTCGATGGAGACAAAGAAATGAACACTGTTATTCAAGCTCAAAAGGAAAAATTCGACGAAATTTAGGGCAACCATATGTAAACGACAAAGAAATGGTCTGGTCGAGAATTGGTAGAAAGGTATCAATATTCAAAAATTTTCTGAGCTCAAAGATAGGTGAAGTAGAACATCTCGTTTTCTTCACGGATAATAGTTCCGGGCAAAATAAAACCTGGCTTTTAATGTCTTTATGGTTCCAGCTAGTAAAGGAACAAAAGTTTAAGTCTATTACACACCATTTTTTAATCAGCGGACACACTCATTCCCTCTGACAGGGATTTTTCTCTTATAGAAAAATGACATAGAAAGTATGCTCCGCTTGTGTGCTCTCCTGAGGAGTGGCATAAAATTATAAAAGAATCTAATAAAAAGAGCCCTTTAACTTAACTATTATGAAGCAGGAAGATTTTCTCAATGTACAACCACTCTTAGAGAACATTAAAAAGAATGCTCGCACTGATGACCAGCAATCTTTGGATTTTTCCATTTTATTCAAGAGTGATAACAGAAAAGCATTTTACGTTAAGCATTCTATGAATGGTACCTACAACCCTGTTACTGTTGTCAAGAAGGGTAGTCCAAATGTGCCTTCGATATCTGATTTACAACAGGAGTATATTGAGCCCATTCGGATTGCAAAAAAGAAACTTGAAAATGTGAGATCATTATTATCCTAAATACCTTCAGTGTATCATCACTTCTACAATAGTTAACGAGAGAATGTCAGCCCTGATGTTGCTGATGATTAAATAAGATTTTGGATATTTATTATTAGTTTAATAATGTAACAAGCCACATTTTTTTAATTAAAGAAGGTTGGAGTAATTTTATTAATATTTTTGTAACTATAGTTCCATAAGGCATGATGCTTCGACATTATCTAAACTAAAACAACAAAAGTTGTTGCTGGATTTTATAATATTTGTCAAATGTCTCACTTTTACCTTTTAGAGGCTGGTCATTGTTTCACATTAAGTTCTCCAATTGTAACATTATTTTAAAGACAAATTTGTAATATAGAGAAAGATCAACTGACCGAGTATTATCCATGTTCTAACATAAGTTAATCAATTAAGTAATCATTAGGAAAGTAAAAGCTTAATAGTATTTGGCACCACAATCCTATAACCAGTGAATATGGCTACAAACGTTGTATAGGTTTCTGTTATACGAAAATATAATGAAATTGTAACTGTAGACATTTGGCAAAGTTGTAATATGTTGCGAAAATATACTTTCATAATTATTATAGGTACTTAGGTTTGTATATGTTTGTAGAAGCATATCAATCCTCGCTACTTAATGGTTATAACAAAATATAGTATGTACGGCTTATGGTGAGTAGTGTTAAAGTCATCATAACATAAATCAATACACACGTTAAAACAATAAGACATTTGATCGAAATTTATGTGCTGTAGTCAAGCTAAGCTCAGCTCAAGTCTATTTCTGTATAAGAGTAATCATATTACAATGTTAATACAAAAATTGTTTCTAACATAGACCTTTTTAGTTTCAGACTTTTAGTTTTCAGAAATTTTTAAGAATAGAGTTTAAGAATTAGTTGAGGTTATGTTGTCAGAGCTACTGAAGGACATAAATTATAGTCCTCGTCCAAAGACCGCAGCATTACGCGAAGATCACGTGATTTTCGATTCACTTTGGCACACACATTAGCAGAAGCCTTGTAAAATTGTAGTCCTTTCAGTTCTAGGCAGCAGTTGACTGTAAGCAGTTCTTTTGGAAACGTTTTGGTGCGTGTGGCGCTCAAAAAGGAAAAAATCAAGTATGGTGCAAATCTATGGACTCATAAATAAAGATTTAACACCGAGCAAAATGAATTTGCGCCTTGTAAAAATGTATAGGTACGCGATTATTCGTCTTCAGTTTACACCATAAACTGAACAGGGTAGCGGAGTTTAAAGGTTGTTGAGGAAGTGTAGATGATGTTCCACATCCAGGTATCCAAACTTACTTGCGACCATTATCAACAAAAAGTATGAAAGGTAGGCTATTAAAAGTTCTTGTAATCAACATTACACTGAAGACTAGTAGACGTCAATATTTTGAAAATTTTATGATTACATATCTTGAAAAAGGTAAAACCTTAATTAGCAAATAAACAGTATGCAGAAAAAAATCGTGAAAATAAAGCGGTTTAAGAAAAATCTTCTCAAATGAGAACTACTCCTAATTTTGAACGAACCTGAATGCAAACATTCGTAAAAATACACCCATTCGGGTAAATACTTGGCTTATAAAAGAGAAGGTCCCTAGTGGTTGACTGTACACCATAGTTTAAAAAAAAATAAACTTGTCCACAACAGTGGCAATAATAAAATTGGGTGGTCTGCACTATGGAATGGTTGAAATCCATTCTATTCCTTAGATTTGGTTTCTCCCGGACTTCCACGTATTCTCTAAATCATAAACTGAAGATTTTCCTGATGATCACCGCTTTTCATCTAATCAAGAAATCGGTTTGGCTGTAGATGAGTACTGTTTAACTTCCAGAGAATGTAAATGTGTTAAATATGAGATGAAATATTAAAGAATAAAGCTTCCCTGAAAGTATAACATCATTTTCACTTGACAGTTGTCAGATATTTTACATTTACATATATATCTGCCTAAACAATCAGTGCAAAAATATGTTTTTGCGTTCGATTAAATTGTAAAATATTTAGCTTTAATTAAGTATTATTACCCCTTTTGAGAAATCCAGAAATCTAGGAAGATTAACTTGGCTAACAATACCAACAGAATACCATACTGAAGGCTGCAGGTAAATGTAACTTTTTGATGAAAGTGATACCAAAACCATTAACATAACCTCAAAATAGTCGATTCTTAATTTCCTTAAAACATAACTGTCCTAGAAAACAATTTTGTAGCTAAATATAACTGTTTTTTAAAACAGTTTCTTCGAAAGTTCGCCAATCTATGTAATATAGATGAAACTTGCAGAAGATGAATATTGTGTGTTTAAAATTTAATCAAAATGTCACCATAACTTCAAAACAGATTTGAGATTTGATTTTCTAATTTGTTCTAGAAAACAATTTGTTGATAATGCTTCAATATGTTTACCACTATGCAAAAATAGACACCATTTAATGAGCAACAAATTAATGTCTTGCATGATTTAGGAGTGATTAGAAATTTAGACGCGCCAATAAGTTCACATTCTCGAGTGACATTAACTGTGTCCTGTATTCTGATTAGTCAACAACGTGCAGCCATTATCACAATGTATAGAATTCAAATTTGGTCACATTCCTCTAGAGACCCAAGCATCTCTTTAAAAATATCCAGTTTATGATTTCTCAACAGTAAAGAATATCAAAAAATTAGCGTCCAAAGCTAATTTTAAATTTGTTATATACAATAAATTACTCTCTATAAGGTTTACAGTAGGAATACCGATGATTCATGTGCTGGCTGTAAGATCCTGAATGCGAGAATCGCTTGAGACATTTGCTGCATTGGAAAGGCTTCTCCCCGCTGTGAAGACGTTTGTGTTCGGTAAGGTGATGTTTGTGTTTGAAAGCTTTAGGGCATTCGTCGCACTTATGGGGACGTTGACCTGGAAGAGAAACGTAAATTTAATAAACAATCAATTTATTGCAAATAATAGAATCATACAATAAACAAACGGCCGATCAATTAAGAAACAAAATCTTTATCTTAACCCTTACATCCAGATATTAACTTTACATTCAGATGTACCTGTATCCTTCTACCAAACATTCTTCTACGTTAGAGTAAGTCTTCCGCCCTACAATGTGAGCAACTGATGGCATAAGGCGAGAAATTACAGAAAAATTCACAGACAACTGTCAGAAACATTTCTGTCCAGGTGAACGTATTACAGTTGACAAAATGGTAGTTCCATACTGTGGTCATTGTAGTTTTGTACAATATTTGCCTAACAATCCCGTCAAATACGGGATAAAAAAATTCGCCTTGTCTGATTCGAAGCTGATTAGAAATTTACTTTAAGAAGCAGCCTGAAGGAAGATATAATATACCAAACCCTGCAACAGATATTGCAGTCAGATTGGTTGAGCCCTTGATAAATTCTAAGAGAAATTTGACCACAGATAATTGATACACCAGTTATTCTTTGTCTCATGAGTTTCTTCACCGAAAAATGACTTTGGTTGGTACTTTAAAAGAAAAAAATAAGTAAAAAAGATCCCCCTGCGATCCCAAGCGACTACTTAAGAGTCAAAAAAATTCGAAAAATAACACCAAATTTACCATAAGTCGTAATATGTAATTATATATAATATTTAACATACCTGAATGCTCATATTTGTGCCTGGCCAGTGAGCTCTGTTTGGAAAACGCTTTGTCACACTGATCACAAGTGAATTGCCCCTCTGCTTCTAACTCCTGGTTTCCCAAAACTGGACTTCCAAGACTCTTAAATACAAATTGAGATATTTTGCTTCTTTTTGTAGCTTGTGATAACTCATCCTCAGTCATATCACTAGTAAGGTCCCGGCCTTCTACCCAGGCCCTTTTTTCACTTGGACTCATATTGGATATCCTACTGCTTATTAACTGGGAAAGACTAGGAAGATCAGTACCTCCGAATTGCATTAGCTGGTCCATAGGAACTAATCCCATACCTGGTAATGAGAGTTTATGGGAAGGCTGAGCCAAAATCTGTGCCAGCCGACTGCTGTTCAATTCTAAAGGTGATGGAGATTGTCGAGGTTCTGAAGAATTGGAGTTGTGGTAGTGGTTTTGAAAGGGCAAGTACGGTGTAGGGCTTCTCGAGTTTTTCCTGCTAAGATTAACTACTTCGTCGTTGGTGTCTGGAGACGGCCTACAGGGCGAACTAGACGGTGAAGATTCCGGTGATGTAACATCTCTCTTGATCGACAAATCTAGAGGTTGTTCACAGATGTACTGATTTGGAGACACGCTCACAGGGGGTTTTGGTGGTAAATTAAACCGAGGTGAGGTTGGTAATGGACTGTACGGAACTTGAATCAATTTTCCCTCTCTCCTGTCTCTAGCTCGTGTATTTTGGAACCACACTTGCACTACTCTAACAGGAAAGCCTATACTTGATGCAATTTTTTCTAAGTCTTCTCGTTTTGGCCTAGGATTTAATTTGTAGTTGTCTTTTAGAACCTTGAGCTGTTCATCGGAAATGAGCGATCGAACTCGAACTTTTCGTCCATCTTCTGAGACGTGATCTGTTGTTGCAAAAGATTCGGAATCTAATTCGTCGTTTGTGTTATAATTTCTTTCATACTCTTGGTCTTCTCCACTAATGCTACCATTTTGAGCATCTTCGGATTTTGTCGTAAACGCACCTTCCAATTTTGCCGCAAGTCCCTCACTTTTAATATCTTCACATTCATGTTGTTCTAAATGTTGCTGAGTATCGAATAATTTTTTGCAAGTACTACATTTTGGAGTTGGTTTCGGGGAGTGAACCGAAGCGACACTATGACATTCACTAGAACTATCTGAGGTTATTTTCTGCATGTTAGCTTGTAATAGTTCTTTGGTAACCGTTGCATTTACAGTTTCTAATATTCTTTTCACAGCTTCTAAGTCACCAGTATTAGTTTGATTTTCATTTTGAGTTTTTGTTTCGTTGTCTATTTCTGCGTCTTCGTCCATCACTAAATCGCCACTCTCGGAAGCATTTGAAGGCGGACGATGATCGTTGTTTTCAGAATGGTTACTGGAATTCTCGAAGTTAGGATTCGTTTCTGTTTGTCTAGGACTATCACAGTTTTCAATAAAAGATGGCCTCATTGGACTCTGGCTCTGTTGCTGTTGCTGGTGTTGCTGCTGAAGCTGTTCCAAAAGATGGCTCAATGAAGGCATTGAGTAATGGCTAATAGGATGTGTATTTAAAAGACTAGGAGGCGCCAAGTAGAAGGGAGGAATACTGGGATTTCCAGTAAGAGAGGACTGTAGAAAAGCAGCAGCTGCTTCCGGGTATTTGGGAAGGATAGGTAAATAAGAGTTGTGATTGGGACTGGTTGTGATGTTATTGTTAATGGGACTAATATTGGGCCTCTTTGGTCCTCTCAAATTTTGTTGATTATTCTTATCTAATAAGGAACTATTTGGCGGAGCTCTAGTTCGTCCTAACTTAACATTCATTACTAGACATTTCTTCGATGTCATGTGACTAGAATAGGATCCGGAGTGGGAAAAACGTTTGCCGCAGTTGCCGCATTCGAAGGGCTTCTCTCCACTGTGGATTCTAATGTGTTCCTAAAAATAAAATAAAAATCAAAACCAAATCTAACGTAAATAGTAAGTATTGTGAATGAAAATTGTTCTAAAAAAGCTCTCGATTTAACAGTTAAATTGATAAATAGACAAAGAAGATAATTATTAGAAAGAATTTTAATACTTATAATTTAAGAATATAAATATTTAAAGAAAATAGGTATTGAAATTCGTAGAAAGGGTATCAAGTGCAAATAACTTACTTTAAGGTGATGCTTAAATTTGAACGCCTTGTCACATTCCGTGCATTTAAATTTTCTAAGAACTGCGCTTTCATCATGACTAATCATGTGTCTTTGGAGACGGTAAACATTGGCAAAGGTTTTGTTGCATACTTTGCAGGACTGAAAAAAAAAACAGTTCTATAAATATAAATAAAAATTCTATAAATAAATAAATATTAAGGAAATATACGAGAGTTGAGCATACAAATGACAATGCCCAACTACTTTTATACGCATACGCAACATCTTCCAGTCCTGTATTATGTCTAACGTGACATTCTTTTTGTATAAATCACTCAGTCTTGACAAAACTGTGCTTAATAGGAAATATTGGAAGGGATTTAGATTAGAACGAAAACTGAAACAGCGGAGAGAAACTTAGTCAAACAATTGGAGAGACTACTATGAATTAGATAATATCTTCATGGTAAAATAATTAAAAAAAAGTAATACTTTTTAGTACTTACAATTAGGATCAGGAAACTGAGTGAAAATTCTATAAAACGGCCCAACCATATTCCATTGGTGGATATTTTACGGAAGAAAAATTTGACTTATGTAGCCACTGAAACAAAATAAGGCCGAAATACCTCTATATTTTCTGCCCAACAAAAACAGACCGGAAGGAAACAATTTATGGATTTAGGGAAGAATGTAGAATTAGTAAGATTGCTCCAGGAACGTTCGATAGATGAGAATGACCTTAAAATCATAAAAAAAAACCTTATATGAATTAAGTGACATCTATAAGAGTAGGACTGGAATCTACATCATATTTTTCAATCGAAAAAGGTGTACGACAGGGCTGTGTTATGTCACCCCTCCTTTTTAATCTTTACCCTGAAACGATTTTCGATAGAGCCTTAAGTGATACTGAAGATGGAATCAAAATCAACGGACAGACTATTAGTAAGCGTCTAATAGTACAACGTCTCATAGATAGAACAAACACTGAAGGAGAAGGACTAGGCTTAAAGATTAATATAGACAAGACGAAGGTAATGGTAGTTAGTAGAACACGAAATATGGAATTAAATATAAAAGTAAACAATAAGAACATCCAAAAGGTCCCCAAGTTCAGATATCTCGGTAGTTGGATAACTGAAGATCTAGCTCCAGACATAGAGATACGTAGCAGGATTGAGCACGCCATGAGAACCTTGGCAGCCTTAACTCAACGCTTCGATATCGCCTATCGCTGTACAGATCACAAAACAAATGTCGAAGTATTAAATCGAATGGGCAGAGAACGAGAATTACTACCAATAATAAAAAGAAGAAAAACTCATTATCTGGGTCATATATTTGGAAATTTAAAGTACCAGTTCTTAAAGCTCATTATGGAAGGGAAGATAGAAGGAAAACGGGGCATCGGAAGAAAGAAATACTCATGGCTTAAAAACATAAGGGATTAGACAAACGTCGATGTCCATGCACTCTTTAGAGCCACACAAGATCGAGAGGAGTATGCCAGAATTGTCGCCAACATCCACTAATTGAATAGGGCCCCTAAGAAGAAGGGAAGAATGTACCCTAATTTCTCATGCAGGAAAAATGGGAAAGGCTTCAGTACTTATATCTTCAATGCATAATAGACGTTAGAATGATCCCTCTACTAACAAACCAGAAATTATTATTATAATGACAATTAGGGGGTGTAGATTCATTCCCTAGATGAGAAATGCTCCAAAAGCACCTCGAGCCGAAGATGTCCCTTCAATTGTTATCCGCGTATGTAACATTTCTATAGCAAAGTCATATATTCAACATAAGTACTAAAAAATAATCCACTAAGAAAAGAAAAAGTGTTTTTTCTTTGGAGTTGGCTAAATAGTTAGTGCAAGATTACATGGAAAAGATTAATGACAATGACAAATTAGCCAGATACTTGGAATTCAAAAAGAACAAGAAGATAATCAGACGGATTAGCTTAGATTTGCAGTTTATCTCCTAGTAGAAAACGCAGAAAGAATAAGCTGGACCAGCAAAACTACAAATGAAGAGGTACTTTAAATAATGAACACACGACCTCATCTAGTTAATACAATCAAAATTAGAAAGACGTCATATCTAGGACACATAATGCGCCATAAGGAATTTGAGCAGCTCCAGGTAATATTAGAAGGCAAAATCGAGGGTAAAAGGGGTATAGGAAGAAAGAAGAAATCCTGGCTCCGAAACATCAGAGATTGGACTCACACAACAGGAAACGACTTAATCCATCAAGCCCAGAACAGAGAGAAATTTGCCATATTGATTGCCAACCTCAATAGAGAAGGCACTTAGGAGGAGGAGGAGAAAACGCAGGATGACAAAATACCCTATTTGCGTTGCAAAAGCCTGTTTGTTTGGGATGTACAAAACCACTATGTAAAAATTGCATATAAAATTGGTAAAGTTTGACTAAAACTGGAAAAAACCATTTTTGATCGATTTTTATTTTCCCCAGTTTTTTGTTTAGTATATAGTTTGAAGTGTATAGTGTATGGCTTTTTCCTAGCAATAATTTTTTTTCATGTTGTTTTTATTATTTTGTTTTATTTAATTTACAAAACTCTATACTTTTTCACAAATATTTGTACGGATTTTAATTTTGTTTAATATTTTTTTCTTAACATAAATTTAATACGTTTATTTTTATATAAATATTATATCAGGGTATATTTTTTTTTTGCTTTCTTGGAAACAGTAGCGTAAACTCAACGGACCAGTTACGTTACTGCTACAAGTATCGGACCACTTAAGGGTTAGGTATATAAGGACAGCAAAACAAGCCGAAATTAGTAAACTAAGCATAATAATGAATTGAAATATGTACCTAATATGATAAATGGTGAAAGAAACAAGAATTATTCAAAATATTTATAGCTAATTTGAATCTAGAGTTGCCCGTGGTAACAAAAAGCAGTCGTAATATTCTTCCTAACCGAGTAAGTAAGTTGTCAGAACAAAAAGTTGTATGTAGTAAGAGACTTGCGACAGTAATGACATGATGGATCGTTTCTTTGCTTTGCAGCCACAAAACTAGAGGTCTTTATCCTTAAATCTCTCCGAATAATCCGGGAGCTTGACACAGGTGGACATTTAGCTCCACACGAAACATATATAATATGCTATGTTGTTCACAGGTCAAACAAAACTGTTACTTAGAAGCTTAGACGAGAAGAGACATATACTCGTACAATTATTAAATTAATTAGATTTAACAACATTGAAACATAAAAAAGTAACATGAAATGTAGTTGGTATTCCAAAGCATAATTTGTTAAGTTATAAAATTGAAAGTATTAGATAGATAGAGAGTTCTTTTTCCGTCTACCTAAAATCTGCTCTTAAAATTTAACTGACATTACAGTCAAAGATATCGCAAATAAAACTGATTAAATTGTAATTTCTGCACATTTGACAAAGCGAATTTCCATTTCATTAATAATTATTCTTACTGGACAATTGTATGAAAATAAAATTGGTGATAAGTCTTCTTGTTTAAACAAATTTATTTAATTGAAAAGAATTATCGAACTGTATTAGAAAAACAGCCAATTTTCTTAAAATGTAAATATTTCAAACTTTTTGTTGACTCAATACTCCTTATATGACAATTTTATAGTAGGGTTTCCATATACTAGTGTGTTAATATTTTGCATTTCTCAGGATAACTACTATTGGTCTATTAACAGCAGAAGGAGTATTATGAATAGGGTAAGCAAAAGTAAACCTTTTATCGAATGTTACTCCATACATATTAGGAATTTTGGAATTTTAGAACACTTTGAACTGATTAAATAGTGAAAGAGACTATATTCTCCGCACTTTTCGCTTCTTATTTCTTTTGTGGGTGACGTAATAAATTCTGAAACTAGCCATTTCTTAAAGATTCATCATCAAGAAGTTTAAGAAATTCAGACTAAATTCCGTCTGCCCTAGAGCTCTCTCTTCTTTTAGTGAAATTATGGCTGCTCTTATTTCTGCCACTATACTTTGTTTCAAGTTAAGAAAATAACATTACGCTTATGGAGATCAGTGTTGCCAAAACTCTCAGACACTCTCTTTTGCACGGATGTCCAAGGTATTCCCTTTGCTTAATTTTTGAGTTTTCATTTTCAATTAACATTTAACTGTAAAGTTAGAATAACTACTAAATAAAAGCCTTATTATCATTATGTAGTCAGAGAACGACATAAAATCGGTTGCAATTAGTAATTAGATATACGCATTCCAAGCGGTCCGTTTATTTGCTTTTAAAACTTAATAGGCGGCAAAATGCATGATTTAACTAAGCAATATTTTCTACTGATTTCTATGATTCATGGCAAATGATATTCTCACCGAAAAACAAATAAACTGTCGTTACTATAATTAAAATAAGATAAGATAAAATTATCTTTTGTAAATACTATTTATCTAATTAAAATAATTTTCCCTACTTTCCATCTCTTATTTCGAATGGGCACTTTTGGTCAATTACGTTAAAAAGCATTAATTTAATTCATGTCTGTTGAAACGAAAATACAAATTATACAACTCTTAAATTGTGCTTGTGTGTGTGTCGTGGCAACGCCGCGTTTCTATCGTCCATAAGAAATACATGGCCCTATCTCCGCAATGTTATTTTCTTAACGTGGAACGTAGCGTAGTATAGGTGGTCATGTTTCCTTAGGTATTGGAGACTGCTTCTCTCTGTTCCAGGTATATATCAATACTCTCTTTGCGCAAGATTAACTTAAAGTCGTCATATTTTGTAGAATTTCGATTTCTTGGCATTTTTTCTCCAGTTCTTTCTGTTTGGCTTCCCTGATCTTTTTCTGTATATCTCGTTCTAATGTTTTAAACATAGAGTTAAGGTTCTTGTTTCTCCTTCTTTCTTTCATCAGCTGCAGAATCTCTATCGTCATCCATGTCTTATTCTTACCTTCTCCGTTCTTCATAAAATTGTCTTTAATGTCGTCTATCGTTTTATTAAGGGATTCTATATTCTCTTTGGTTTGCCATTTATGTACGACATTTTACTGCTGATTAAATCTTTATGTACGACTTTTTACTGCTCTATTGTGTCAATCGGCGTTGCTCAATGAAGTTACGTAAAGTTACATTATGTGAAGTTACGTTTTGATAATTTT